GAGGTTTGTTGAATGAATCCACACTCAACCACGAAAGAAACAAGTTTAATATTGAATTCCGTTAGTAGTAAATTTAATTAAATTGTTTATGGTTAGTTTTTAATTGGTGTGATATATCAGTTATTTAATTGATTTAATTGTACTTTATCTTGTTTCATTTTTAAAAATTAGTGTTTCAATGATGTGTGGGTGTAAAGATTGTATCATTGTGGAGTTTTTGGATAATAGTATTATAGAGAATCTACTACTCCCTCCGTTTTATAATGTAAGTTATTTTAGAGATTTTTATTTGTTTCAAAATGTAAGTTGTTTTGATAATCCTAGGTATTTTTTTAACTTTATTGAATATTATGTGACCACTAATATTTTGCAGTATTTTGTGTTATTGGTGAAATTATTTCTATTAAATATATTAAATGATATTTTTTTGCAGAAAAGTAGTTTTTTAATATTCGTTTTTAAAGTAAAACAACTTATATTTTGAAACAAAGGGAGTATATAAAAACACTATAGCTCTCTCCAGCTCTTGACACATCAGCAGAAAGAAGAAGAAGACACGTGTCCTCACTCATTTTTTTTTTAAATCTCTTGCAGATTTTCACTTTACCTTCTCTATCGCAATTAATGGCTAACGTAGGAGGACAACCCAAGCGACAATTCTCTTCTATCTTCTAGGCATCTTCAAAGTTCGATCGGGAAATCAGAGAAGCAGAAGAAGAAAAAACTCGCGATACTGCTGAGAAACGACTTATAGAGCTTGGGCGAGGAGGTAAAACGTCTTCCCTTTTGAGCGTTTGATCCCTACAGTAAAGTGCAAAAATTATGATTAAGGTTCCCTTCTCATCTTCTCCATCCTTTATACTTTCCCGATTTGAGAAATCCAACTATAACTTCCTCTACATGAATTCAAGTTTGAAGAAGCCGAAGACAGAGATGGAGTGCGATTCTGAGTTCGGTGATACCGAAATCACCAACGTGGGAGATTCGACGGAGTCTTCACCGCTAAAGACATATCATGAGTCTAAGATTGAGGCAGAGGTCCCACCAGCGAGTTTATGAGGCTGCTAGAGATTTTTGCAATATATGAAAAGAGCGAGGTTAATTTCTATTCCTTTGATTTTAGGGTTTATGTAGATCCCCAAATTTTCTCCATATGTTCCATGATCTCCGGTATATATTTTCTGGGAATGATGTTTAGAATCAGATGTTCAATTTCTGTTTGATTCTGGAGTTTTACTAACCAAAGTTTGAAATCTTCATTTAAATATAAGGACTAGATTTCCTGAAAAGTGATTTCAATTATATGTCTTTCTCTTTATATTGCGGAAGATTTTACTCCTTTCAAGTTAACAGCAACAAAATAAATTAAGGGTGTAAAGCACCCTTGGATTTTTAAGACTACTTTCTGTTGCTTTTAGCAATGGTCTACGCGATGCTTCTGAGAAGTCTCAAAAGGCTTTATTGACATCTTGCATACTGGGTACTGTTAGCTTTTAGCAGCTTCAGTTAGAAGTTTATTTCTTGTTAATATCTTGTCTAGTTTTAGAAATATTGTAGTGTTCTCTCCGCTTTGATCTTTTAATCTTGTTTCTTATGTAGGTTTGCAAGATTTGATCACAGGAGGAGGATGAGGAGAAAAGATTTAACCACTCTCGTACCTAGATTGTTCTGTTCAGGTGCAACAAAATTATATTTTCAAGCAGGTGGTGCAGACTGAAGTTGGAAAACCATAAATTGTCAACTCTCTTCTGCAAGACAGTCAACATCCGGTAAGAAAATCTACCAAGAGATTACAAATTTTGGATTGGACCGAATATCATCTGGAACAAGCAGATAGTTACCTTTGAGAGAATTATGAATAAGCGTCACCGCCAGTTTGACTGTTTCTTTGCTCCATAGTGTCGATACCTTCTTTCTTTTTGGATATAGGTAACGCAGTTGCACAGTAAATGGTTCTCCGATTTTGCATATGTCGTTATACTATATACTCTGGTTTATTAGAGAATTTTCCCCCTTTGAGGTTTCAGACAAGAAAATAAAAGAAAATTCAGACCCAAGAAACGTGGTTGTAATCGCTATAACATAAGTTAATGGGGCAATCACTAGCTGTTAGTACTCATCTGTATGTATTCTATCAATTTTTAAAATATGTCACAATGGTGTCAGTGTTTCCAAATTTTTTGGTCTAATCATTTTGATTATGAAATCCTTGACTTCGTTGTAGGAATGCCGCGCCAGGTCGCTCGTTCTGATCTAGAAAAGTCAGTGTCCACCCACCCTCTCTATTATGATATGGTTATTGATGTAAGTGGATATAGTTGTGGAGATTAGTATTCATATATAATTTGTACAGAGGATCAATAACCGACTTTCGCTCCTCTTATCGCAGTGGCTTTTAGATATTTTAAGCATTACCATGTAACATTCAGATTTGATTACTTTTATTTTTGGATGTTTTCTTAGCTTTGGTTCTTGTTCTGAGGTTTTCGTTGATGTTGAACGATCACTCCTCTGTTTTAAACAGTGTGACGCTCTGTTTCTTGGCAATTAATTGATTTCAGTGTTTAAAAAGGTAACCGCCAACTACAAGCTCTTTTTGATGGGTTGTGAACTTGATTTTTAACCGAACCAAGCCTATAAGTGTTAAAAAT